TCCCCGCGGAGCTGCCCCTTTCCTTCTGGAGGGCAGGGGCAGCTAAAACCCCGTCTCGGACTTGAAGAGCTGGGTCAGACTTCCCCAAGGGCGCGCCCCATGCCACGACCCGAGACTGCCAGTGAGAGCGACAGCCAAGACCGCTCACCTCCGGGGCAGGGTGGCTTAGGAACCGGGAGGAAGGGTCTTTGATCCGGGTGTGCGCCTCAGCAGCAGCCCTAAGGTCACTGGTGCAGTGTGGGTGCCTCACCTCTTAGGGGGCCTAGCCCCAGGGAGTCCCAGCCCTGGGCTGCAGACCGCACCACGTTGGAGCAGAACCCATGGGCTGGGGTGGACTGGCCGCCTCCCCAGGGGCCTAGGCAGAGTGCACCTGCCCCTCGCCCCATGGCGACAATAAAGGGAAGGGAAGCTAAGGTCCTAGAGCTCCCCACCACAGGAGGGGCAGGGCTGGGCACCCCACTCAAAGACCCTTCCAGGTGGAGCCTCCCTGCTCCTTACCTTAACAGATAACAGACCCAGAGAGGCGCAGCCACTTGCCCGAGCTCACACAGCTTGAGGACGGGCACACATTTAACCAGGGCTCAGGCTTGGAATCACTAAGCTTCTCGCTGAATGCACGTGGCTTGGTGGACTCTGTCCCTCCCGAACCTCGGTTTCCCAGCCTGTAACTGGAAGGGATGGGGCTAGCCTGCAGGTCTGGGCTTCCACAGAACACACCCGGCAGGTGGGTGATGTCCCTGGTGGGGGATGAGAACCCACCCGGCTGCCCCCGCAGTGGCCCGCACCTCGGAGGCCGAGCACCGTCTGTTTGAGCGGCTGTTTGAGGACTACAACGAGATCATCCGGCCCGTGGCCAACGTGTCCGACCCAGTCATCATCCAGTTCGAGGTGTCCATGTCTCAGCTGGTGAAGGTGGTGAGTGCGGAGCCACGCAGTGGCCGTGGGGTGTGGGATCTCGGGGAGCCCCTCCTGCTGCAGCCTGCCAGCGGAGACCAGCGTCTGCCCTCCTCTTTCCAGGATGAAGTGAACCAGATCATGGAGACCAACCTGTGGCTGAAGCAAGTGAGTGTCTGGCCACAGGCACTGCTGCCCCCTGCTGGTGACTGCTTTATTTGCTGTCATTGAACCAAGAAAGCCCCAAAGAGCAGGCCATAGACCCAGATCCTGGGGCCTGTGTCTTCTGGGACTTGGAGGGACACACACTGCTCTGCAGCGCCCCCTGGAAGGACTGTAGGGCCCACCTTGCAAGTCCCAGATGGACAGTCCGCAGGCTGGGGGCGGGGGGAGACAGAGCAAGAGAGACCTCACTCCCACAGGACAGAATGGGGCAGACCTAGGGATAGAGCCCCATCCCACCTCCAGGGCAGCCTGAGCTCACCTGCTCCCCTGCCTCTTGCCAGACTCCTCCCCTCGTCGGAATGAGGTGCTGCTGTCCTGGATAAGACTGGAGTAGGGGCTGGGCTTTCCTGTTCCCAAGGAGGCTAGTGACTTTGGCTTCGGCCGTTCTCCCGTCCACAGAAGGGCCCACTGGACTGAGGGTGACCCCCTGCCAGTCAGCGGGAGAGCACTCAGCACACAAGCCTTTGTCCCTAGAGGCTGCCAGGCCTGATGTGGTGAGCAGCGCCCACCTAGCACCTGAGTGCAACGTTGGCTCCGTGACCACAGCCCTGCATCTCCCTCAGGGGTCTGGCTCTGCGGGCTCTGCACTCGCAGTCCTCGGGCCCTGCTGGAATCATGGTCCCCTCTCAGTGGGACTCTCAGAGGCCAGCCCTGCTTCGCCCCAAGGCATGAAAGGTGGCGTGAGATGCAGAGTGCCCTGTTACTGGGCTGTGGTGGGGGCTGGCCTGAAAATGCCCTGGAGAGCTGCCTCAGGGGTGTCAAGGCCTGGCCCTGGCCCTGGCCCCAGTGGTGACTGGAGGAAGCATTAATTGTCCTTGATTGCTGGGGCTAGGCCTGCCCACCGCCTTGGAAGAGCCAGAGGGCCTGCAGACAGCCGCTGCACTCTGTGAAGAGTGGGCCAGCAGGGCCTGCAGCGTGGCCGCAGGTCATGACCCGCTGTGGTGGGGTAGGGGTCACGGTGGGGAGACTCCAGGGATGGGCGGTGTCAGACCGGCTGACACTGGTCCTTTGGCTGTCTCCTCTCCTCCTCCTGGTCCCCTAGATCTGGAACGACTACAAGCTGAAGTGGAACCCCTCTGACTACGATGGGGCGGAGTTCATGCGTGTCCCTGCGCAGAAGATCTGGAAGCCGGACATCGTACTGTATAACAAGTAAGAGCAGGTGCCCCGCTCAGGGCTGGCAGCCAGGGCGGCCCACAGCCCGTGCCTGCAGCCAGGTCTGCAGTGGCCTTTCCCAAGAGAGCTCTGTTCGTGGGCTCACTCTGTGGGTATTTCTTCAGTATCTACTCCCTGGCAGGTTCTAGAGAGGCCAGACAGCACTAGCCACGTGCAGAGTGGCTTTCGAGGGTCCCCATGTGGCCAGAGGAGTGACGTCAGGAAAAGCACCAGGGAAGGAACGGCCATCGGAGTGGGTCTGGAAGGTCGCATAGGACTCAGAGAAGGGAGATGGAGCAGGGGAGGGCTCACGGAGGTAGCAGAGAATGCCCTGGCAACCAAACTGACCTCCCAGGCTGGACCGCGAGACATAAGCCCTGGTAGGCAGGGGGAGGGAGGTCCCGAGATGCTAGGAAGGGCCTTGAATGCAGCATCTGCAGATGGGAGCAGGGTGAACGGCTCCCTCCTCGCCCTCTGAAAGAGAATGAGGGTCCTGGCCAGGTCCCGGCCGCATGTGCAGACCGCATGGTTACCAAGGAGCTTTTTAAATACACAGGTTCCTGCACTGAAAGCATTTTCTTCGTCCCCTTCTTCTTCCACGCATGTGCATATATGAGGGTAGCACTCTCTGCAGGACCCGGCCACACCGTGATCCCCTTCCTCCACGCCTCCAGCCCATCAGATCTTGGGTTCTTGCACACATGCCTGGGGTGCTTCAGGCCACCCAGGCTGGGATTCAAACCTCGGTGGCCATGTGGGGTCCGGCTTCTCTCGAGCAGTCTGTATTACTGCTGTGCCATGGGGCCAGCCCCTTTTGCTAGATTAGCCAAACAATGTCAGTACCTGTCCCCAGGTCCTGCCCCACAGAAATACCAGGTCCATGGGTAAGGGCTGGGATCCAGAGCATGTGCTTTCATGGAGCTGTCCTGGGGGCTGTGAGGGCCCGCTGATTTGGGGGTTCCATTTCACAGGTGAGGAATGAGGCCCAGGGTACTCAGGCGACTTCATTCAGTGGATGTGTGGCAGAGGCAGGCTCGGAGTGGGTTCAGCGACTGGCTGTAGCTGTGGGGCTCCACTAGACAGCCACAGCCCATCTCTCTCTGTTCTGGGCCCTCCCCAGAACAAGCCTGCAGCCCTACCATCAGGCAGGGGGCCC